CGCCCCCGGCAGCGGCTCCCGCGACTCCCGCCGTCCCGGGTCGGTCCCACCGCGGTTTCCGAGAGCGCTGCCCGTGTCCCGCGGCTCCGGCTGCGGGGCTCGGCGGGGAGCCCTGCCCGGGCCAGCCACCGGCCGCGGCGGGGGCCGGCCCGCCCCTCCTCGAGGGCCCCGGATGGCATCGCCCGGCGCCGTCCGGGGCCGGCGGGGCGGGGCGGGGCGGCCGGCGGGGGCCGGGGGATGCCCTGCCTCCCCCTCCACGCCGGAGGGGCGCGGGGGCCTCGCCTTCCTTCTCTCCCACCGCCCCCCGGCACTCCTCCCCCGCCCCAAGGAGGCCAGCCCGCCCGGCGGCGCCGTGCCAGAGCTGCCCGCGCCGCCCCGGGGCCGGGCGGGACCGCAGCGCCGCGCCGGGGCCCCGGGCCGGCCGCCTCATGCACCCGCCCGGCGCCCCGCTCGCCATGGCCGAGGGCGCCTTCTCGCTGTCCGCCCCGGCGGCGCGGAGCCCCGGGGGGAACCCGTCGAGGCTGCACAGCATCGAGGCCATCCTGGGGTTCACCAAGGAGGACGGGCTGCTGGGCGCCTTCCCGCCCGACGGCACCGCCAAGGAGGCGGACCGGCGGGGGCCCCGGCACTGCCTTCCCAAGATGCCCGGAGAGCCGCCGCCGGCCGAGCCCCAGGGCCGCGCCGAGCGCTTCCAAGGTGAGCGCGGTGGGGCAAGGCTGGGCCCCGGGGGGCGGGCGGGCGGGCGAGCGCCGCTCCTCCGCGCCCTCGGGCGGGCCCCGCGGGCAGATCCCGCCGGTGACCCGCCTGTCTCCCCCTCGTAGAGCCGTACTGCCCCGGCAGCGCCAGCCCCGAGCTGCCCGCCGGCAGCAGCGGCGAGGGGAAGCCGTCGGACGAGGAGCAGCCCAAGAAAAAACACCGGCGGAACCGCACCACCTTCACCACGTACCAGCTCCACGAGTTGGAGCGCGCCTTCGAGAAGTCCCACTACCCCGACGTGTATAGCCGAGAGGAGCTGGCCATGAAGGTCAACCTACCCGAGGTCCGCGTCCAGGTAACGCCCGGCCCGGCCCCCCGCGACGGCCCGGCCCTGCCGGCCCCCGGCATCGGGCAGACACACACGGCACGGCCCGGCGCGGTTCGACGCGTTCGCGGCGGCCGGAGCAGCACCGATCCGGCGCTCGGGCCCGTGAGCACAGCACGGCCCCGGCCCCCCTCGCCCCGGCCGGTGTGCGGCTGAGCGGCCCCGCGGGGCTCCGCCGGAGCCCCGGGCGCGGCAGCCGCACGGCCCCGGTCCGGCCCGGCCGGCGGGACAGCGCGGGTCTCGGGGCCGGTTTGCGCCCGGCAGCTGCTTCTCAGTGCCGCTGCCCTTTGAGTGGCGTGTCCCAGCCCGGGGCCGCCGAAGCCTCTATGCTACGGGTGGACAGGCGGGCCAGCTCTGCCGCGGGGCTGTTTTCCACCGAGTGCGAGGCACGGGGAAACGCCCGAAGCCCCCAAACCCCTTTCTGCCCTGGCTCAGCACGGTGCAGCACATCGCCTGCTGCGTGCTTCCCTCGCTCTGTTTCAAGTGCATCGCTGCACCCAGGGGTGAGCCTCTGCCCGGGGCCCGACTGATACGGCTGTGCTTGCAGGTGTGGTTTCAGAATAGACGGGCCAAGTGGAGGCGGCAGGAGAAGCTGGAGGTGACCTCCATGAAGCTGCAGGACTCGCCCATCCTCTCCTTCAACCGCTCGCCGCAGGCAACACCCATGGGTCCTCTCAGCAGCAACCTCCCCCTGGAGACGTGGCTCAGCCCGCCAGTGCCCAGCAGCACGGCCCTGCAGACCCTGCCTGGCTTCGTGGCCTCACCGCAGAGCCTGCCCGGCAGCTACACACCACCGCCCTTCCTGAACTCTCCGGCAGTGACCCACGCGCTGCAGCCCCTGGGGGCCATGGGGCCGCCGCCGCCTTACCAGTGTGGGGCCACCTTTGTGGACAAGTTCCCCTTGGACGAGGCAGACCCACGCAATACGAGCATTGCCGCCCTGCGGCTGAAGGCCAAGGAGCACATCCAGTCCATCGGCAAGCCCTGGCAGACAATCTGAACTCCCTCTCAGCACCTGGGAGAAACCCATGGGGAAGGCCCGTCCCAGGATGATTGAGGGACACCCTTGCCCTGCCTCGGCTGCCCCGGATGGCTGGGCACAGGAGGGCTGTCCCTTGCACCAGCCTTTCCCCCACGCCTTGACTTGCTTTGTATTTTGTGGTCCCTTTAATTCCCTTTTCCACATGCCCTGAAGAGTTAGGGGCCCAATCATAGCTTAGGAAAAACAATCTCTTTTGTTCTGTCTCCTTGGCTGGATCCTTTAGTCACAATAAAAGCTGCAGTAGGGCAAAGAGCTGTGTAAGGTGCCTGGGAGCCCAGGTATCCTGCCGTACCTGGGGAGGGGTTTCTGCTTTTGCACCATTAAATGGCAACATCTGCATGGAGGCTGCGCATCATGTTTCTGCACTCAAATGGGCTGCTCGGGCTGGACCCTCCGCTGCCTGTGATGCGTGGAGGGGTGGGAGAGGCCTGGCTGTGGACTCTTCTCCCTCCTCCTCCAGCAGCAGGAGCTGGCTGTGGCCCTGGAGTCTGCAGCCCCACAACAGGGAGTGTGGCCAGATGAGGGTCCCCCCTGGGCACAGAGGTGCCGGGGCCCTGGCAGTCCGTGGGCCAGGCACAGCACTCCCACAGCTGCTCTTGCAGGGCAGCCCTAGGTTCAGGTGGGCTTTGCCTGCCCCCTGCCCAGGCAGACCGGGGGCAGTGCCAGTCCCCAGCCTTTGCTGCCTCTGCAGAGGAGGGGAATGGCAGGGGTCCCGGTTCCCTGCAGCCCAGCTGCTGCGGCGGGAGACAGACGGTCACTTCCTGGGCACTGGACACCCGGCTGAGGCCTGGCGGGCGCATTCTGCCTGGCCTGGCTGCCCAGCACAGCCCCCGGAGGCTGGCACGGCCCAGCGCCGTGCCTGCTCCCCTGCCCACCCAGTGCCCATCGCCCGCCTGCCGAAACCAAAACTGCGGCATCTTTATTTTTCATTATCTCCGTTACTGCCTGTAATGGGGCTGAGAAGCTGTAATGAAACACCCCTTCTCCTCCACTGGGCATGGGGTGCTCTACACACTCGGGAGGTTGTGGCAATTAACGTTTCTCATTAGGGAAGAGAGAAAGATGCACAAGTGCCCTCATTGTGTTCTGGGGATGATTCAATGCAGACTTGGGAGACCTCTCCTTTCACCATTTCCCACTCGTTGTGGCCAGACAAAGGCTGGCGTCTAATTATATTTTCACAATCTGTGCGTATCTTTAAGAGTCCTGTCAGAAACAAGTATGTCAACTTTGTTCAGCTTCACTTCGGAGAGCTTTTTAACCTTAGACAGCAGTTTCTAAACATCCCTTCACAGCCTTCTCCACAGCAGCCCCCATCTATTGTCTGGAGAGCTTCTTTTAAAGATAATAATAGGAATCCTTCTGTTTCCAAACGCCTTTTCCTCTCTCCCCAGCCTCCCTGCAGATCCAACCTGCCTCTCTGGACCAGAGCACACACTGTGCCCAGGCCCCCTGGCTTGCCATCCCTGAGCCATGCTGGTTCAGGCACGCAGGGAGGCCCCATGAATGGTCCCCCCTGAATTCAGGGGGAATGAAGCCCTGTTGAGGCAGACCCTCCTGTTGGGCTCTGGACTTGACGGTGCTACTGTGTGTGTGTCCGTGGAGGTGCCCGGCTTGCCCAGCACACAGCTCTTTGCTCCCTTGGCAAAGAGGTGGAAGTGCTGTCAAGAGAAGAAGCGCCATCGCTATCGGGACCGGGAGGGGGGTATTTTGCTAACTTCTAGCAAGGAGACCTGAGTGAACTTCTGGGGGGAGGAGAGGAGAACAAAAACCCTATTGCTTCAGTTTTCAGGTCTTACTCCCATGGTCCTTTCACAGGTGAGCCTTGCTTGCACCACCAAGGATGCTGGGGTCGCAAGAAGGTACATCTCTTCTGGTGGCTACAAGGGAAGGATTTCTCCTGGTGTGCTTGAGAAGTGCCCGCACAGCCTGGGCTGTGTCAGCCACGGACACGCACTAAGGAGTGACTGCACAGGCTCTGCACACTCTTCCTCCTTGGGGGGGAACAATCCCACTTGTCATTACTTGGGAATGAGTCGACTCCCCAAAACTGCAGTGGTGCTTTTCCACATTTTGACACTACTGCCTTTCCTCCCTCCCTGTTGCCTCCAGTTCTCCTGTATCCTGTAAAGCCATTGGAAAGAACCCCCTGACTTCCTCATCAGCTGTCAGCACTGTAATGGATCGACTGTGTGCCATCATGTCCTTCAAGGAAAGCTATGAGTTTACTGCTAAAAATAAATATTTTACCAGCTAAACATAACTGGGCAAATAAAGGGATGGGCCTATGCAAACTCACATCTTTCTTCTACCCTATCTAGTTTTTCATGTTCCTACACTTTCTTTTAAATTGTCCCTTTCCTTTTTAAAAGCTCATTTGTTCATTTTGTTGTAAATATCTTCTCCTTCTTAATTGGGTGCTGAGTCTAATAATCCTGCCTCGGCTTGTTAACTGTACAATAGCAGTCAGAGTTAATGACCCATTAGTGATTAATTCCTTAAACAGCATCTAATTGCTCACTGTAAAACCTTTTCTTAAAACTGGATTAAATCATCTAGATCCTTAACCACTTCTTTACTCTAACTTTGCTAAGGCTATTAGCAGGGCCTTTACTGAGTGGTCTGTTTCTTCTTTTGCTTAAACTGTATTAGCAAGATAGTATTTTTAGTGTCTATACTTATTTGCAACATCTGATGTTCTAAGGAAGAATAATATTGATAAAAGACTGCCAGTGAATGAATAATTATGAGGAAAACACCATAATGCAACTTGGCCTCAATAGCACCACTTCTCAGCAGAAAGTGTACTCTGATCTCCCTTCCCATCCGTGTCGAAAATCTTGTCAGTATTCAAGAAAAGTAGCAAAGACACCAGACCTGTTTAAGCCAAGGAGAGTTTGGAGGTGTGATTCGGCTCAGAGGTTTCCCAGTGGAGCAGGACTGGCTCTCTGTCCAGGATGGCCCCTCAGTTGCTGCTGGATGGGTCAGAAGCTGTCATCCCCTCTGGAGCAGCAGGGCGGCTGTCGTGTGTGCTCCACTGCCACGACAGGTCACAGCCCCTGGGAGACGAAAACACACAGAGCTCAGCCACAGTTTGGATTTCTGTTACCAACTGCTGCAGTTGAGGGCAATACTGTTCCCTTCTGCTGAGGATGTGTCAACGCAGGGAGTTGAAGGACCGTGTTTCCATCTGCCCTGGCTACATCTGACAGGCATTTCAATTAAGAACATTTAGTTTCTTACTATTGAAAAATCTCAAGTATCTGTTCAAAGCTCCTGGCTACATATTTCCTCCGTCTCCCGGGACATACTGTGAAGTCCAACAGGTATTAATTCAAGGGTTTTCCCTTCAGCTACAGTGGTTTTGGGCTGGACGCTGAGTTTCTCTCTTCTGCGCAATCAGCGTCCTCCTGTGCCAGTGTTACAAACCTTGGGATTTTATCAACTCCCTTCAGTCATTTGTCAGCCACAGAGTACCCACCTATGAAATGTTATCACAGGAGAAAATAGTGGAATAAAACAAACAAAAGAGGGCAGAACGAGAAGCTGGTTACACCAGGACACTGGTCACTCTGACAACGTTACCAGTTTCTCTGGTAGAATCAATATTTTGTCTCCTCTCAGCATCTCTGTGTTCTGCCAAGGCATGATGTGAAAACTGGCTGACATTTGGCAGTCATCCCTCTGTCATATGACATTTCTGCCCCACTAAGATTGGGATTGCAGAGCCGGTCTCAGTGGAGCGGCTGAGGGACTGCAAACAGCAGCCGCGGCCCCGGGGCTCACCCTGCACCCGAGCGCACCGGAGCTCCCCTGTCCCGGGGCTCCCCTGTCCCGGGGCTCACGGCCGGCTCTCCCTTGTCCCGGGGCTCCCCTCACGGCCGGGGCTTCTCTGTCCCCGGGATTCACCGGGGCTCACCGGGACTCACCTATCTCCGGGGTTCACGGGAACTCCCCGCACGGCCGGGCTCCTTGGGGCTCACCGGCTTCCCCCGCACTCCCCTCACGGCCGGGGCTCCCCTGTCCCCGCGCTCCCCTCACGGCCGGGGCTCCCCTGTCCCCGCGCTCCCCTCACGG